TGCTCGGTGCCTCACAACGTACTGGGCCCTCTCAGGGACTGGAGGCTCTTAAATTATCTTGTGCAGAGCAGGAGTGGACTCGGGCCTGGCTCTCTGCAGAACTGACGGGCTGAACCGATACACTCTGTTACTTATGGAGAGTAGCTCCCGCGAGCTGGGCCACAGGGACATAAAAGTCCAGTGGAAATGGGCAATTCCTCCAGGACGCTTTCCTCCTTGGAAGGAATTCATCAGGCCCACAGCCTCCGAGCTCCAGTGTAAGAACAGAGCAGACATGGGGCTGGAGAAGGACTGAGCGAGGTGGTGAACAGCCCCGACTGCAGGCTGAGCACGGGGTACCGGGGAGCTACGGAAGGTTCCAGGCAGGGGGAATGCCATGACTATAGGCGAGGAGGGAGTGCACCTGGAGATGGAGCCCTATAGCGAGACTGCTGGGATATTCTGAGCAAAAGGGGAGTCTGGGGTGAGAGCGCAGGTGTCGGAGGGGGAGCCATGCTGGACAAACCGTTTCCCTTCCTGCACCTTTGGGTGAAGGTGCCCTGGCCAGAGAGGGCAAAGGTGCCCACCGGCCATGGGCTGATCAGCTCCAGACTTACATGGAGGAAAAATATTTAACTCACTGAATTTTGGGGTCTATCTGCTACAGCAGCCTGGCTCGTACCCTAAGTTGCCATGTGGCCATATGCAAGGCATTTTACTTTTCTGAGCCTCTGTTTCCACATCTGTAAAATGGGGTCATATTGGAACCCATTGGGATTCAGAGATGGTGCATGTAAAACTAGCACGAAGGAGGTACACGGTCAGTGCCCTGTGTTCCGACCCAAGTTCCCCTTGGTTGACCCTGGGTCGGGGACACTCCCAACTTTCCATTCAGCCCAAGGGCACGTTCCTCATTTTCTCTTCCTCCTTCCGATGCCTCCACGGGCACCCAGTGCAGGGCAGTGGACCCAACTAGACCCTTGACTCAGATTGATACAATAGCCGGGTCTGGATGACTTTCAGACAGGGGTGGTCTCTCTCCTGTATTTTACAGACCGGAAAACAGGTCTAGAGAGAGCCAGGGGTTTGCCCCCGCTCCACAGAGACTCGGGCAGAGTGGTGGCTGGATTCAGTCCTTGGCGGGCACGGGGGGAGGCGTGATCTCTGATGTAAGTGCTGGGTTGGGGGGCACGCTGTCCCCCCTTGCTTACTGTGGCCCCTGCCACCCCGGTCCCCTTGTCATTCCTCATGATCACCGCAGGGCCTTTGCAATTGCTGTTCCCCCTAGTGAACTTACTCTTCCCTGGCTGCCTCTCTCTCGCTGTGTTAGTCCTCAGTTTAGGCACAACCTTTTCAGAGAGGGCTTTCCCTGATCACCTGAAGCTGGACCCTCTATAATCTATGTCTGCCTCCCATTTATTTCCCTTTTTTGCAATATATTATTAATTCAGTTTTACAAACTAAAAAAAATTTTCTTTTGGTTTGGGCCAGTCTCTCAGCCTGTTAAGTTCCGTGAGCACCGGACTCTTGTTGGCTCTACTCCCATCACGCAGCCTGGCCTTGACCCTGGCGGATCCTTGACACCTACTATGCTATGTGAATAAATGAACCGATGCGTGAATGAATAACTACATGAGTGAACGTTCCAGGCCTGGATGGCCACCATCACGTGGCATTTACGTGATTTCCCTTGTGCTGGGCTCCAGTCTCCCCACTGGGCAGGTGAGGGGAAGGGAGGCTCAGGGAGGTCTCACAGGGTAAGGCAGGAATGTGTCCGATGCTAATGGCCATTGGACATCCCTGACCTCGTGACATGTGAGAGCCTCAGTTGAGAAATTCAGTGTTAATCTAACACCGGAAAGTAACACATTTATCCTGGAGGTGGCCTGGACCAGACTCCATTCTCCAAAAGATGCTGATACTGTTGTTGCCAAGGCAACGCTGTTGGCTTTCGGAAGCATCGTGAAATGGGAGGGGAGAGGACTCACACAGAAACCCAGGGAAAGGAAAATCTGGAAAATGGGGTCAGAGCCCCCCAGCCACCAAGACAAACTGTCCTGATGCTGGCTGCTCCCTTGCTCCCTGCAGAGGGCCACCTATTACCTCGGCCGTGGCTGTCATCTGTGGGGGTGCACAGTGAACTCTCTCTGTCAGTATGGAAACTGCTTTTGCCGGGGACACGCAGAGATCTTGGGAACAATGTGATCTGCCCAACGTGGCTCCACTGCGACCTATCAGGTACCAGTGATAAAGGCTGACTGGTCTTGGAGAACTTTCCAGAGAGTTCCTTTAGTCCTTGAAGTAAGTGGAGGGGACACTGCCCCAGTGGTTTCGTGGTTGGTGCCAGGAAGCCTCAGAGAGGCCTGGGTGAGGGAGGCAGCTCATAGATGATTGGTGGTGATTGGCTGTGCCACCTTGGGTGAAATTCTCTCCCTCTCTGAGCACCAATTGCCTCATGACTAAAATGGGGAGAATGCGGATCTGATATAGGGAGCGGTGATTCTGGATGTGGTTCTGCATAAGGACCTGCCGATTCAGACATCCTAGAAGCCACTTCCTATGAGTGGGTGGCCCCCAGGAGGTGGAGCCAGGGCCAAGGCCACACCAGCCACACCCCCATAGGGCCCTTGGGCTGCCCAGTGTCCCTCCGTTGGGCGTGTCTACAGCCACTGTGGGTCGGCATCACTGTCAGGGGACTTTCAGAGGTCGGCAGGGCCTCTGTCCTTATTGTACAAATGGGAAACAGAGGCTCAGAGAGGGCCAGGGACTCTGCCCCGGGGACATAGGTAGGACAGCAAACGAGGGTCTGACATCCCCGGGCGGGACACAGCTGTGTCCTCGATAGTTTGGGCCAACCTGGGGATGAGCTGGAGCCTGGGGCCAGGTGAGAGACGGAGAGAGGGGAAATGGGGGTCAGAGAGATGGACAGGGGAAAAGCGATCACCGGCTCTGGTCTGTCCAGCATCGCTTCTTCTGGAAACAGTGCCTGGAAACTGCTAGCCCACATGACTTGGGTGAGCCTGACCCCAGTTCTGGGCATCATCGGGTAACCAGGTCTGGTCACTCAGACTCACAGTGTTAAGTGCAGCAATGGGCACTGAAGGACCAGTCCTGGGGGAGAAAATCTTGCCCTTGCTGGAATCACTGGGACGGGGAAACTGTCTGTCTTAGGGGTACTCAGCAGGGAGGCCACGAGCCCAGGGCTGCCGGGGCCACCTTCAGGAGAAAGCCTGATGGAGAGTGAAGTCAACATGGCAGGTACAGGGCTGAGCGGTGAAGAGGGACATCCTAGATCTAGCTACGCCTGAAGCCATCCCTAGACTTGCTGGTATGTGAGTCAATCCATTCCTTTGGATAAGGTTTCTATCCCTTGTGCTGGTGAGTCCTGGCATGGAGGAGGAAGGAAGGGGATGTGCGAGGCCTTCAGCGCCCGCCGGAGGAGGGCTCACAGCTTTGCCCCCATCTCCTCTCCGGCTCACCCTGGCCGGCAAACTCTGCAGCACACAGATAAACGCCATGGATTCAGAAATGCACGCTCACCTTACCTGGGCCCGAAAGTAGCTGGGGCACGCATGAGGGGTGGACTTCCTCACCCCATTTAACCTCTCTGGGAACTAACATTTATTAGGCACCTGCTCATGTCAGGCTCTGTTACTGACATACATGATCTCATCACCTCCTTGCCACAGCCCAGCCAGGAGGGGGTTTCCTCTCCATTTCACAGACACGACAACCGAGGCCTTGAGAGGCTGAGCCACTAGCCTCAAGTCCAAGAGCTGGAGCAGGTCCATCCAGCCCCAGAGCCCTGCCCACAACACGACGCGGCACACAGTAGATGTTAAATAAAGGCCTACCGAGCAAATGCTGTGTGGGGCTACTAGAAGGTTTCTGAGCAGGACCCTTCCCCACCCTCGCCTGAAATGCCCCACTGGCAACCACACCCTTCCTTGTTTCTAAAGAGATCAGCCTTGATCTGCATGGGATTTGCTCAGGGGGCTGGCTGAGCCCCCGGTCAAGGGCAAGCGGGGCAAGGGCCCCCATTTCCACCACCCCAGCCTCATCCAGCAGAAAGCCTTCTGAAGACAGAGGCGTTCCCTTAATGGAAGAGCAGGTCGGTCTGGGCTGGCCTGGGGTTTGGCTGCAGGTGGCAGGATTGTGGTGGCCTCGAGACCGAGGAGGGTGACACAGTGAGGGGGTGCGCGGCCCCTCTCTGACCCTGTCCTCCGAAGGAAGTCTGTGAGCAGCCCGGGCCCAGGTGGAGGCTGGCTCTGCCCTACACTCCCACCCCTCGCAAGCCCCCAGCTGCGGGCGGCATCGCCTTTGGATCAGGACCCTGGCCCAGAGCACGGATCGGAAACTTAGTTCTAGACCCTTCTTCAGGGGTGGCGTGTGTCTTCTTTCAACCCAAAGCGTCTTCCAGTTGTTTTTAGAGGCTGATCGAGACCCTCACGGTGGCTCTCGTAGCCAGAGTGAGTGAGTGCAGACAGGGGTGTGGTGGTGGAGCTCCGGGGCTCCTTGCCACACTCGACCAACTTTTTCCAAGGGCATCTATGGCCCCGAGAAACGGTCTGGGATCAACGGAGGCCTGTTTTCAAACAGGGACATTTGGAGAAAGCTGCCCATTCTGACTCCTTCAGAGGCAGTCAGAAGGCATACGGCCACATTAAAGGCTCTGACAGGTCCTGCAGCTAAGAATGCCCATTCATATTGATTTAACTGGGTGTCTCCCTCCCTCACTTGACCATAGGTACTTTTCGAGGGGAGCCTGAATTGTTCTCTCTGGAACATATTCTAGGACGTGCTGGGGGTAAGGGAATCCCCCTTAGATCTTCTGAAGCCCCCAAGAGACCAGGTCTGGGCTTCAGATGCTAGGACCTAGGAGAAGGGGACTGGAGTCCTGTTATTTCTTTGAGAACCTAAGTTAGGTCTGTTCTGAGCTCACTCAGGGTATTGTGACCCTCAAGCTGGCTGGGCACCCCTGCAGGAGACAGAAGGGAAGAGGAAAGAGGGACGCTGTAGAGTCAGGATCCCTACAACAGCCACCATGTTACGACTTGAGGGAAACGGGGGCCGCTGAGCCTCTGGACTCCTGGGCAAGGACGGCTGGCTCAGGGGGCCAGGGGGCCCAGGACAACACCCTGGCACTGTGTCCCGTGTTTGGGTCCAGCTTGTCTGGGGGATTCCAAGTCCCGGCTCTTCATGTGGGTAGGGCCTCCGGGCGTGGCTGCTTATTAGCCACCCACGGGACGCACCATCATGCGAGTGGCCCGCAGCGAGTAACTGGGGCCCTGGAAGTAGTGCCAGCGGATGCCGTTGAGCTTGCGCACGTGGTGGCGAGCTGGGTAGTAGATGCCGTTGAGATTCGAGAGGCCGCAGGCGTCAAACCACCATCCTGGCAGAGGGAGGGGAAGACGCTTTGGGGAGGTGGGGGCCAGCCGGTGGGCTGGGGGAGGCCCTCTGCCCCGGGGACTAATCAGGGCTGCTGCCTCCTCCAGGGAGGCGATGGGCAGGGTGGGATGGGCACGGGGGTGGGAGGGAGACTCCCGGACCCTCTGCTCAGCCTGTGGCCTCTGGAGGGCGGCACCTGGATGGTCCCCAGCTTGTGTCTGTCTCTCTGTGGGACTCTGTCTGAAGTCTCTGTCTCTCTCTCTCTGGTCTCTGTTGCCCTGCTTTTCTGGGTCTGTCTCTCACATGGTGTTTCCATCTGTCTTTCGGTGGTCTGCACCTCTTCTCTCCATCTCGCCCCCTGGACTTCCGTTCTCATGGACTCTCTGTCTCCACTGCTCTGTGTCTCTATGTCCTGATGTCCCTCTTATCTCTGTCTCTGCATCTCAGGACGTCTCTCCTCCTATCTCTGTCCCTCCTACTCACCCCATCTCCCGCTCTCTGACCTCTGTCCCCCACGCCCAGGAACATGCCTGAGCCAGGTGTGGCGGGGAGCCGCCCCTCTGTCCCCCACGCCCGGGTGTCCCCATCTTGGTCCTGCTCAGCCTGGGGAGCGGATTCTCAGGCCCGGGGGTGGGACCCCACCCTCTGTGTTCCCCTTGCCCAGTTTCAGAGGAAAGCTGGTAGCGCCTGTGTTAGGATGAGTTGAGACCCTGAGGGAACCTTGAGGTCTTGGTGGGGGAAGGGATGGGTGGGGCAGAGCCAGGCCTGAGCCCCGCTGCACCCACCTCCGGACAGCATCTGGGCACACTTGCAGAGGCAGTTGTCGTTGTCGGCATCTCGGGTGCTGAAGTTGGTGCCTTGCAGGACCAGGCTGCTCTGGCGCCCTGCTGAACCGCTGTATCCACTCAGAGAAAGCCTGGAGGCCACCAGGAGGTGGTGATGGGAGAGGGGTCCAGAGTTAGGATGGGGCTGCTTAAAGAACGGCTTCCCCAAGAGGTTTTGTCCTAGGCTGGGGCGCCTCTCTGGTTGTTCTGGGGTGAAGGGCGCCCCAGCGTAGGGTGCTTGGGCTATCTTCCCTCCCCCCCATTACCCTCCCTGTCTGCTGACTCCTGGGAACAGAGCACCCACTGTGTGCCAGGCCTCCCTCACCTCACTGAACCTGAGTCTTGGACAAGAGTGAGAATGATCAAAGCAACAATGATAATGAAGACGATGGCTACCAGTTTTTGAACATCTACGGTGCACTGGGCATTGTTCAAAGCACCATACATGGGTGAACTCATTCTTGCTCCATCCTCGCCACACCCTATTATTCCCATTTTACAGATGAAGAAACAGATCCTGAGCACCATAGAAGCCTGTCCGGGCCTCAGAACGAGAGAGGGTGAGAACCAGATGCCAGCCCAGCGTGGCCTGCCTTGGGAGCTGTGTGCGATTTCCTCCCCAGCTGACCATTCTGCAACCTCAGCCCACCGCCTCCAGGAAGCCTTCCCTGACCACATCAGCCTCCACGGCTCGGCGCCCCGGGGCACCCCCAGCCCTGTGGCGCGTACATCTGCAGCCAGCTGGGGAGGGTTTCTATGTCTCTGCCAGGCTGGGAGGTCCCGTTGGGCATGTCCAGGCCTGTGTGGGGAGGATGACCGTGAGGTCTGGGGATCGAATGCCTGGATCCGAATCCCAGCCCTGTCAGTCTCCAGCGGCATGACCTTGGGCACCTGTCAGCTGCAGTTTCTCCGTCTGTTAAAATGGTAACAATGGTAATCTTAACAGCGGCGCCCTGGTTGGGTTACTGTGGCCCAATGACTTCGCTGTGTGAGGGGTGCAGGGCAGGGCGGGCGCATGGTAAATGCCCAGCACATTGAGTGCTTGCTATCATCTGTCCCTGTGCTCCCAGCCCTTGGCAGGTGGCTGGCACAGGCAGCTGCGGCATGGACCCATTTTGAGAACCACGAAGACGGTCCTACGGGTGGAGAAAAATGGACGCCAGAGGCGGCCAGTGCAGCTCAGGGAAGGTCTGGCTCCCCCAGGGCAGGGCCTGGGAGATGCCCCTGATGGCATGAGGAGGGAACGTGGGGCTTGGGCACATGGCTTATCTCAGTCCCTGTGCCTCCCACCATGGGCGCCGCCTGTCTGCGATGAGGCAAGGGCATGGCCCTCGGGGCCTTAAACACACAACCTGGGGCTCGCGTGACTGGGGTTGAACCCCCCCTGGAAAGAGGCCTATCTGGCCAGGGCTCCCAGGGGTGGGGACAGACACAGACAGGTTGGCCCATGAGCTCCTATCATCCCAGTTTCTCTTTGTGGCCATTATAGCCTCCCCTTGAGGCCTCAGTGAAGTCAGTTCAAGGTCAGGCTTGCAGCTCTGGCTGAGGTTTGGGGTGACATTCAGCCTGAGGTGGGTGGAGTCAGGGCCAGACGAAGGCGACTGGCCTCACAGGGTCCCTCCAGCAGCACTGGCCTCCCTACTGTCTCCAAGTCCTCAGCTCAGTCTCTGCCTCCCTTCCCCTCCCCCATGGGAACCAGAAAGGGGAGCTTGAGACTGCTGGGGACCAGGAAGCCCCACGTGGCCCAGTGTCCAGACGCATTTTGAACATGGTTCATGGCTCGAGGCTGGAGAACCCAAACACACGGGTCTCTGGGAATCCCCAAGTTGGACACATGAGGTATGTTGTCTGTGTGTCCGTGGATCTGTGGGTGGGTCTGCGCATCTATAGCTGTGAGCGTTTGGATGCAGTTCTTCATGCCTGTGGGCGTCGGTGTGTGTTTGTTTTGAGTCTGTGGAGCGGTTCCTATGGTGGGTCCAAGTTCGTGCTCTGGAATCTGTCTTTGTGTCCGGAATTACGCGTGTGTCACCTGCGGGGGCTTCTGTGAAGCCCCTCTGCACGTATGTCTGGGTGTGTCTGTGCTTGTTTGCATAGCTGTGCACTGTGTGAGTCTGTGCACTCTGTGGGCCTATGTGTGTGCCCCGGAGGTGCAGTGAGCCCCTCCACAAGTACACGTGTGTCGGTGCACACCCCTGTGCATCTCTGTGTATCTCGCACTTGTGATCAGATCTGGGTGTGTGTCTGGTGTCTGTGTGTGCCTGTGCCTTGGCTGTGCCTCCTGTTTCCTCCCTCCCTGTGGGTCACTTGCAGGCTTACGCATGCGCCTTAGTCAGGCTCTAGAAGGCCCTTGTGGTTTTTTGTTTTTTTTTTTAATGTTTATTCTTTTTTTTTTTTAATTTTTTTAATGTTTTATTTATTCTAGGAGAGAGAGAGAGAGAGAGACAGTGTGAGCAGGAGAGGGTCAGAGAAAGAAGGAGTCACAGACTCTGAAACAGGCTCCAGGCTCTGAGCTGGCAGTCAGCACAGAGCCCGACGCGGGGCTCGAACCCACGAACCGCGAGATCATGACCTAAGTGAAAGTCGGACGCTTAACCGACTAAGCCACCCAGGCGCCCCTAATGTTTATTCATTTTTGAGAGACTGAGAGAGACAGACCACGAGAGAAGGCAGAGAGAGGGGAACACAGAATCTGAAGCAGGCTCCAGGCTCTGAGCTGTCAGCACAGAGCCCGATGCGGGGCTCAAACTCACACATGGTGAGATCGTGACCTGAGCTGAAGTCGGATGTTCAACTGACTGAGCCACCCAGGCGCCCCTGGAAGGCCCTCGTTATTGTGTCTGACAAATAAGGGTGGCCTTCCCACCCCTGACACCTACAATTTCCTGCCTCTGGGCTTCCCTGTGGGGATCCTCCCCACCTCAGCAGTCAGCTGACCCTATGGTGGGGGCCCTGGGACCAGCATCTGTCTGTCACTCTCTCCTCAGCTCTTCTCTGGCAGTTTTTGTGTTTCTCTGTATTTTCTAGGATCTCCGCCTCCCCGTCCCTCCCCCACCCCCCAGGCTCCCAAGCCTTTCCTGAAAGAGCGAGAACTCTTCTTTATGATCTTGAGAGAGACTTGCTCAGGTTTGGGGAATCTGGGGCCAGCTGGATGGACCTCTCTCTGCCTCTTTTCAAAACATCTCCACCGTCTGAGATGCCCTTCCTCTTCTCTCTTTGTCTGGAGGATGCCTACCCTTTATAGGCATTACCTCCTCCAAGGAGTCCTCCCTGTTCGCACAAGCATCTCTAGGCCCCCTGTGTTTCCCCCACAGGCAGCTACTGTCTTCCCAGAAGTGTGGGACTGCCTGTGGGCATCCTCAACCCCAGGCACACACGGGACCCACTGGACTGGGAATGAAGCAACGGGGATAGGAACAGCAGTGAACTCATGTCGAGCAGGCGAGCCACGTGTGTGAACGGCTACCTTGGGGTCAGCAATTATATTACTTGCTGAGCATTTACTAAGTGCCAGGCACTGTGTTAATGCTCTAAGTGCAGTATCTCATTTGAGCTTCGTCGCACTTTGAATGATGTAGGTACACCTAGGGCACCCATTTTACAGATGAGAAAGTGGAGGCACTTCTTCAGGATCACTGAGGGAGATCGGCACGGAGTCAGGACTCAAGCCTTGGCTTTAGTGGCTTGAATAGGAGTCAGCAGGTTGTTGTGGTTACTCACTGGTCAGCTTAAGGAGTAGCGGAGAGGGCACCATCCAGCCTAGCCCTGCCTCGCCCAGACCCAGGTTCATTTAGCTCTAAACCTTGCAGTTTAAGGAGGACTAGTATCAGATTGGGTCCTATAAGGAGGATGTCAGAACAACTTAGCTCAAGGATCCACGGCATTTAATCAGAAGAGAAAGGGGTGGGTGAGGCGTATTATTGAAAAGCTCCCCGAGATGGAATTAGACATAAAGTGCAGGAAGACAGAGAGCCCTCAGAGATTCCTTTGGAGGAAGTGACTTCCCTGTCAGTGGAGGCATTCCAGCCTGGCCGGCTGATGACTGTGGCTGTGGAGGGGATTCTAGCATCATATGAAGCCCCAGGTGATGTGTGACATCCTTTGAAGACTCGTGAGTGTGAGTCTATGATTTCAATTCTGTCCTGGTTCAAAGATAGCCAGGACCCAGGCTTATCTTCAAGAACCCTGAGTTTCTCAGAGAGGCAACACCATGTAGTAGAAACCCCCTGGGTTTTGGTAGCAGAGAGACCTGAGTTCAGATCTAAGCTCTACCTCACCTGTAACTTGGGACAGGATACTTAAGCTCTGTGCCTCAGTTTCCACATCAGTAAAGCAGGTGCAGCAGTGTTTACCTCAGAGTGATGTGGGAGGCATTATATGGAGTAATATGCCTGGAACGTGATAGGTGCTCAACAAATGCTCATTTCCTTTCCTAAATAAAGCCAAGAACCAGGCTGAGGGCGGTGTGGAGACCTTGATGATTTTACATTATACTCATATTTAAGCCCATCCTGCAGTTTAGAAACAGAAGTCCAGAGAAGCCAGAGCATTGGACTTGCCCAAGTTGACAAAGCGAGCTGGAACAGAGCCAGAATGAGCTCAGGTTCCCTGATTCTTAGCCCAGGGACCTTTCCACCTTACCCCACGGCATGGGGACAGGCTGGACTCCCCATTCTGGGCCTCAGGAATATGGCTGACTCGGGGTGACTGACCTTAGAAGGCCCTTTCTTGCTCCTGGGATGGCAGAGTCAGCGACATCCTCTCCACCCCACCCAGTGGCCGGGACGTGCTGAGTGTTAGCCGGCCGCCCCCAGATCCCGTGACGTGCGCCCAAATGGGGGACAGATGGTAGGAAGAGGAGACGCCCAGGGATTGACCCTTGGTGCAAACTGCACAGCCCTTAGCGCGCACCCCAGCCCGCCCACCAGCCTGGGCCCCCAGCCCACCTGTACAACTGCCCCTCGCTGCCCAGCTGGAAGTGCTCATACTGAGCAAAGGCCTCGTTGCCTTCCCAGTCTTGCAGCTCCACGCGCAGAGAGTAGGCTGCACTGCTGGTGAGCTGGTGCACCACCTCATTGCCCAGCCAGTGCTCCCCAGCCAGGTCGCCGAAGCCCTGTGGAGAGTGAAGGGTGGGGGTGGGCTTCATGCTGCCATGGGAGGCTGGGCCAGCCTCCAGGGCCACTTAGTCCAAAACCACTTTGCCTAATGACCAAGTCCATAAAGTACAGTGTGGGCAGGCCTGGAGATGGGAGTTCCCCACCTTCTAAGATTTTTGGAACATTCTGTAAATTCTGTTAAAAGTCATTGAAATCACATTTCTGTGGAGTTTAAGAACAGGCAAAATTAATCTGTTGTGATAGAAGTCACAATAGCAGCTACATTTTGGGGGGAGGGAGAGTATTGACTGGGACACAGGAGGCACAGGGGGCCACAAAGGGGACTTCTGTGGTCCTGGCAGTGTATCTAGCTTTGAACGGTGGGCACATCGGTGGGTACATGTGTAAAAATCCACTGAGTAGCTTACGCTTTGAGATTTGTGCCCTTAGCTGCATGTATGTTGAACCTCAATAAAAAATTGAAAGATTTTAATCAGCTGCATAAATTGTAGAGCAAACTTTGTTCAGTGACATGGCAGTTGCTGCAAAATTTCAGCCACAGAGAAATTCAAAGTTAAGCGCCGTAGGTATCAGCGCCCCAGGGCAAGGAGAACCCTGTCCTCGGCCAGAACAATAATTCAGCACCAAGGACAGGGCAATGCTTAAGCCCCACTACCCATTTTCGTTCTGCCTCACTGCTGATTCGGCCAAAAGTTGATACTCAGAGCTCTCGTCTATTTCTGCGTCTGAGCATCCTATTTCTTTTTGCCATTTTAATATTTGCTTAAAGCTCAACTGGCTCAAGGACATTCATATCTTAATTTGGTATTTATTTTTAAGTATTTATCAAATGAACAGTAAGCAGACACAACTAAAAATATCGTTGCATTTCTACGTATCTTCTTCTATTTCTTTTGCTTGTGGAAACTTTAAGAGCTTTTAAGTCAGCTCGCCAACAATTCTTTATTCAAAAGTTAGTGTAACAATTGGAAGACCGTCGGGCACTGCTTCTCATCTTGTAAAATGCACAGGGTCTTTGAGCCAGCAATTCCATATGAAAGAATCTCTCCTGAAAATGTGATTATATATGTGTGCAAAGATAAGGGCATTCATCAATGCAGTCAGGGGTAGGCAGGGTAGATTACTTTTCTCTGTTCTGTTTTTGTATTCTTAGAAAAATTTTTTAAAGCAATATGTATGTATAATCTTTACACCAACAAAAAAATAAAGTTAAACTTTTATTCTTAGGAAAGATGTCAGAACTTGCAAAAAGAAGTTCAATTTCAGGTGATGGAGTCCCTGACAGTGACTGTGCACTAGGAAAATCTGTTTGAAGGTGGTTGCTTTTAGGTGGGTTGATTCTTTTTTTTCTGGGGAGGGTTGAAGGCAAACCTAGAGCCCTGCCTACAGCCCACCTGCCCCAGGTTTTGGGGCTGAAAAGTCCCTTTCCAGGGCAGCAGTGTTACCTGTTTGTAATCTCTCCAGTTCCGCTGGAAATTCACACTGCCATTCTCACGGCGTTGAATGAGAGTCCATCCACCTCCGTTGGCCTCCATGTCACAGAACACCTGGAACAAAGAGTGGGGGGGGGTGCGGGGGAGGGGAGCTGGAAGCCCCTGAGAGATGTCAGAAGCAGGTCTGGACCAGCCCAATTCTGATTTGGCTGACCATCTCACAGAGCAGCAGTTGAGCCTGGTGGTGAAGGGCATCAGAAATATCCAGGTTCACATTTCCCACTTACTGTCATCATTTTTCTAAAGTCGTGGACAAACGATGTCCTCTCAGAGCCTTCCTTTCCTCATTTGTACAATGTAAGTGTTAGAACCTTAACCTCATTGTGCCTCAGTTTCTCACCTGCAAGTTGGCTTGATGTGAGAACTATGTATAATGAGTCATCTAAAGAAAAGAGTCTGGGCATATTGGGAACTAAGTCAATGGAGGCTTTTCCCTCCCTATTATTGCAAGGTTGTTGTAAGGATTGAATGCTGACAGGTGTAACATGCTTGGCACACAGCATAGACTCAGGAAATGTTATTACATTCAGTGAGCAAATATTTGCTGAGCACCTGCTGTACACCAAGCTCCCTTCAAGGCACGGGGGATGCCAGTATGGATAAGACAGAAAGAGTCTTTCTCTCAATGAGCTCACCATCCATCATGATCTCTTCTTTCAGCCTAATTTTTGCTCACATATTATTTTTCCAGCCAGTTCAGTACATGTTCAATGTTCAGTGAAGACCCATTTGGTCTCTGGTCTCATACTAGTCGAGAGAGACAAATCATGGATAAATCAACCCTCAGGGCTGGCTTGGTTTGGAGGAAGCTCTGATAGGGTAGGCAGTCTATTGATTATGAACATTTGTGTAGCCACAAGAAGAGCTCCTAAGGAGTCGTCACTGGGCAATCCCAGAAGGCTTCTCAGAGGAGGTAGCATTGGAACAGGGCTTTGGATAATGATGGGCCTGACAGGCAGACAAGTGGAAATGGCAATGGAGAGAGCGGCTCTGAGAAAGTAGAAGCCTGCTCAGGGAGAGAAGATAGTGGCATTTGTTGTAGGAGTAGCAGAAGGTGCAGTAAGGGAAACTGAGGTCCAGAGAGGAGAAGGGACTTTCTCAAGGCAAGTGAGGCTAAATTATGCTGATGTGTGAGCCCAGCTCTTTTGCCTCCCAGAATTTCACCATGTCTGAATTTACTGAATTTCATATAAAATATTTACTTAAAAGTAGCATCCCTTAAAAAAAAAACTTACTTAGATGAAATGTATTTTAGAAGGAAAGCTTATCAGTGCCACAAACTGAAAACTAGCAACACTTGCTTTTAGTCAAATAGTTGTAAAATAAATATAACTAAAACTTGAAGTTCTAACTAGAAATTGAGGGCCTGATCTCTCTGTTAAAAGAGGAGTTTAGCAGGTGTGTGTTTACAGCAGACTGTAAAGACAGTCGGAAAACAAACGAATATATACATATTCATAGGAATTCAAAGAGAATTGAAAAGGGAATTAGGAAGTTCAAAGACTGGCTAGTTGTTCTCCTTACTCTTTCACTTCCGGGCCTGGCCCCCAAACCTTCCCTCCTGATATCCACATGTATCCTTGACCCCTCATCATCTGATAACTGGACCTCAAAGCCCAGGACAACCATGGATACACTCCCTGGAGATAGTGGGGTCCCCATTGACCCTCGTCCCTAATTTCCCACATGGAGCAGACCCCCCACACCTGCACTCAACTAGACTATATGTGTTTATTAGAAATGAACTTCTTTGTGGGGCATTTGGGTGGCTCAGTCAGTTAAGCACCCGACTTTGGCTCAGGTCATGATCTCACGGTTCGTGAGTTTGAGCCCCGCCCCAGACAGCTCAGAGCCCGGAGCCTGCTTCAGATTCTCTGTCTCCCTCTTTCTCTGCCCCTCTCCTGCCTGTGCTCTGTCTCTCTCAAAAATAAATACAGGGTAAACAATTTTTTAAAAATTAGAAATAAACTTCTTTTTGTTAAGCCCCTGGATTTCCAGGGTTTGTTTTCTGCCAGCATTGCCGTAACCAACACAGCACTATTTCCTGCCATTCCAACTGAAAGCATGTCTGGAGAAGATGCAGAAGGATGCACTTCCAACTCTGGGACTTTCTGCTTTAACCCCACATTCTGACCTCTGGCTGGGCAGGGGCTCCAGAAGGTAGGGTCATGTCACCTCTCTGGTATCTCAGATGTTGGACGAGGCCCAAAGGTGATGCGGACACAGGGGTAGTGACCTGTTAGGGAGGCCCTTAGCTCAAGGCCCTGTGATAGCCTCAGCCCCCAGGGAGTCCCCTAACCTTCCTGGGCTCCGTCATATTGGCCACATGGATGGTGTAGATGCCACTGGCATTGGCCCCGTAGCGCTGGATCTCTGCACAATCCTGGAACACCTGCTCAGCTGCCCTTGAGGAGGCTGCAACGTGACAAAGCAAAAGCAATTGGAAGTGAGCTAAGGAGAGAGGGGAGGGGCTGGGTGGGCACTACTTCCTGCCATGTTCCGGGCTGGAAGGTGCTGGGGACAGGGTGAGGTGTTAGACCTGAGAAAGCTTCCTAGAGGAGGTGAGGGAGCTGGGATCTGGTTAAGGAGCAGGATCGCCCAGGAGAAGGGAGAACGTGTTCCAGGCAGAGGGAACAGCATGTGTGGGGGGCCCCACGGGGGGAACAGTCCCAGAGTGTGCAGGGGATGGTGCGGTGAGGAGAAGTGGCGGAGGCCGGGGAGGGGAAACCACCCACACCATGAGACCAGAGCTGAGGCCAGAGAGAGCTCTGGCTGTCTGATGAACTCGACAGGAGTAGGGCGAGGCTGACCCAGGGAGGCTCACAGAGGAATGGGGTTGAGTTTCAGCAAGGACCAGCTGAGCCTTGAATGCCGGGATGAGGAAGGAGCCCAGCCTGAGCGGAGGAAGAGTGCTCTGGCTGAAGCGTGGAACAGAGACCGCACAGGATAAGACTCAAACCAGGGAGGCCACAGACAAGCCTGCTGGAGTCTTCTCGGAGAGGCAATTGGGCTGTGAACTCCAATGAGGTATGTCCCCCTCAACCGAGGCCCAAGAATAAGGCAACTGGCTCAAGGGCACATAGCTGGGAGCGTGGGCAGAGCCTTCCCTCTCTCTAGGTCTTACGAGGGAGTCCTTAGAGCGCCTTTGGGTAGGAGGCACAACCCACAGTGCCCTTCTCTGGTGACGGCAGGACAGGGGCACAGGGCATTTGGGCAAAGGGTGCCAGAGGCCAGGCGCCCAACACAACCTCCTACCCAGACCAGCAGGTGGACTCGGAGTCACAGCTGGACCCTGGGGTAGTGGTGAGGCTGTGGGGAGAGGCACTGGGCCTGGGCCTGTGTCTGGGGCTGAGCTACAATAAACCCACATGTGGGACTAATTTCGGCAGCCTCGCTGCCAGGGCTACGCACGCACAAGCCAGGGACAGGTTCGGGTCACTCCGTATCTCATGGTTTGGAAGGAATCCACTTCTCCTGCCTGTGGCTTCCTTGGGCCCTCAAATCCCCCAAACCCAGCAGGGCCTGCCCCACTTAGATGGAGCCCCACTGCCACCCTCTGGCCCTAAATCACTGCCAGCTTAGTGCCTGGAGCACATCACTATTGCTTGATTCCTCGTGCCTTAAAGGCTTCCCGGCCTCCCATATGGTGACCCTGCAGCAGTAGAAACACCCTCCTCGGTCCTTCTCGACCCCCACCCCCCAGCCGTTGTCCACTGCCTGGTGGGTCCCAACTGAGCTTCCTAGAACCTAGTCCCAGTGGGTGTAAAACCTTCCCGTGGCTCCTGCCTGTCTTCCGGTTAATGTTCTGTCTCCTCAGCACCGCCTTTTAGGCCTTCTGTGGACTGGAAATTTCAAGAACATTGCTGGCACACGGTGGCACATAGTAGGCACTCAAAAAATACTCATTTCCTCCTCTTTCCCTTAGAGACCCAGAGATAGGCAGCCGGGTGTTTCTGCAAGACTGTGCTGTTTACTGCCGTGTCCCCAGCACGCAGTGCTGGGCCTGGCACACAGTGGGTGCTCAATAAGGGTCTGCCGGCCAGTAATTTCCTGAAGCCAGCAATGCTGTGGCCACCCCAAGGGGGCCTCATCAGGAGTCAGTGAGAACTGGGGGGCGGATTGGCATCGCTCTCCCTTCTCATTTCTGTCTCACTCTCCTGAGTTTGGGGACCAGGGCGACAGGGTGAGAGAAGTCCTTGGGGAACACTGAGTCCAATCTCTGCATTCCACAGATAGGAAACTGAGGCTGGGGGAGGGGACGGGCGAGCCGAAGCAGGGGAGGATGGAGGGTGGATCCTTGAACCTAAACCTGTCAGTCTGGGCTGCTGGAATCCTTGTCATTATTATCACTTTCACAAATAGATGGGGGAAACTGAGGCCAAGAAAGGGGTAGGTCCGTGCCCAAGGTCCCCCGTGGAGTTAGGGGGTAGAGTCTGGATTGGTCCTTCCTGGGACTCTGGTCTTCCCCATTATTCTTCTTTGTGGTCACTAGGGGACGGGCCTTGCCCGCAGTGGCTTCCAGGCCCCGAGGGAGCCTGGAGGGTAAGCCGGACGCCCCGCCCCCGGCGCGCCCCGCCCCCGGCCCCGCCCCCGGCGCGCCCCGCCCCGCCCCCGGCGCGCCGCCGCCGCTCGCTCACCGGGGCTCTGGGCCACGACGCGCACCAGGCGCTGCACGGACTCCAGCAGTTGGCGCTGCTGGCGCTGCAGGAGGCTGGAGTTGCTGCTGGCGGCGCGCAGGCTGCGCTCGAGGCCGGCGAGGGCGCCGCTCTGACGGCCCAGCAGCCGCCGCAGCCGCTCCTTCTCGCCGCGGAGCGAGGCCAGCTCGGCCTGCTGGTGCGTCTCCAGGGCCTGCACCCTCGTCTCCAGCGCGCTGCGGGGCGGGGCGCACGCGCATGAGCCCGCTGTCCCCACCGCGCGGTCACCCGCGAGGGCTCGGCCTCGGGGCCCCGGGGTGGGGACGGGGCCCTCCCCTGACAGACGGGTAAGGAGGCTCCGAGAGGTAGAGCGTCTGCCCGGAGTGACACAGCCCGAGAGGCGCGCCCACCGGTAGCAGAGAGTGAGGAGCGGAGGGAAGGCGATGGAGAGGAGGAAGTGGGGGGGGCGAGGGAACGACTTTCCCTTTCATTTTATACGGCTCTCTATTGTCCGGTGATATAATAAGCATGGAGCATTTTTGTCACGAGTTAATAAAAAAGAATTTTACAAAAAGAAAAAAGCTTTTGACTCGACTCTTCCACTTTTGGTATTTTATCCTGCAGGAGTGCTCCCGTGTGTGCAGCGAGGTTCGGGAACATTATTCACTGCCTCCTGTTGAATAGTAGAAACAGACAGGAAACAACAACCTTTACTGCCCATTAACTGGGGGCTGGGGAAATAAGTGTGGGCACAGCCACAGGATGGCACGTTATCGGGTCAGAGAAAAGAACCGGCAAGCGGATTCCGCAATGAGTTTCCGGGATACTTGGGGAAAAGAAGAGCGGTGAGCTCCATTTGGATTCAGGAAGGATTAAAAAAAAAAAAAGAGACTGTACGTACCTATTTGTGTGCATATTCATAAGCACACAAATGCCACCTCCAATGTTAGCTTATAGAAAGTCTGCTGTGGGACAGGGATTTTTGTCTGGTGTTCACTTCTGTAACCCCAGTGCCTAGAACAGTGCCTGATGCGTGGTCAGCGCTCAAAAAATGATTGTTGATTGAATGAATGGGAGGGCCGGCAAGAAACTAGGGAGAGTGGTTACCTCTGCTGTGGGCCGGCGGCTGGCTAAGGGGACCGGGATAGGAGGGAGACATTCCCTACCTATAAGGTTATGCTGACCCATTCTCCAGACTAGAACAGTGAGTCTAGCCAGGGCAGAAGGAATCTCCCCACAACCCCAAATTATGCCGTAGGAAGAGAAAAAATTGGGGCACGCTCAAATTCTAGACATTTAGCTGTCTCCATGGGCCAAGAGCTTTTTGGTGACCTCCTCCGTCTTCCCTGATTTCTAGCCACTTGGTGGCAATTCAGACTGTCCCAGTCCCTGCCCTGACCCGCCTTGGGATGGTGGAATAAGAAGGTGACAAACTATCATTAGCTATATGCAGATCAGAGAGACTTGGACAAGCCTTAGATCCTTATCGTGACCCTGCAGGTGAGCAACTATACCACCTCCCCCTGCACACAGGCCAGTGGCTGCTTCAGTGTGTGGGTTTTGCCTCCTCCAGCACCTTGACCTTGACAGTTTTTCCCCACTTAGCTCGAAACCAAGATGAAATCAGCCTCCGATGCCAGTTTCTCTGCCTTATCTGTACCCCATGACTCTTTTGTTCTGTGTAATTTGAAGGGTGTTCACCTCAAGTTCACCTCAAGTGTCTTTGCTTATAAATGCAGGGACTCTGCTAGTGTAGACGAGGAGTCAGTAATGTTTAGTTATTTACAAATTAGTAAATCAAATTAAAATGTACAGGATGAATTGTATGGTATGTCAACTGTAGCTCATTAAAGCTGTTGAAAATTTATAAAATGGGGGCTCCTGGGTGGCTCAGTCGGTTAAGAGTCTAACTTCGGCTCAGGTCATGATCTCACAGTTTATGAGTTCAAGCCCCGCATCGGGCTCTGTGCTGACAGCTCAGAGCCTGGAGCCTGCTTCAGATTCTGTGTCTCCCTCTCTCTCTGCCCCTCCCCTGCTCACCCTCTGTCTCTTTCTGTCTCTTAAAATAAATAAATATGTTAAAATCTTTTTAAAAATTAAAAAAAAATGTATAAAATAAAGGAAAAAATAAAGAAAGAGGAAGAAAGAAAGGAAGGAAAGAGGAGGAAAGGGAACAAAGAAAGAACAGAGAAAGAATCAGGGAGTTCTGAGCCCCTAGGGAAATGTCTGCCTCCCGCTTCCACCCAGGATGCCTGCAGGGCCCCCAGCCCAGCCTCGGCCCAGCCCAGGGCCCACATTGTCTCCCAGCCTCAGTCTGGACTCTAGCCCTGGTTTCAGTCCTTACCCCAGCTCTGGCTCCATCGTGAGCCCCCAAATGGTCCCTCACTTCAGTCCTAATCTGGGCCCCCCAGCTCCGGCCCCCACCCCTGTCCCAGGTATTAGCCCAAGTCCAGCTTCCACCCCTGGCCCCAGCCCCAGCCCGGCCCTAGCTCTGGTGCCCACCCTGGGTCCCAACCGCACTCAGGTTCCAGGCTGGCCCTGCCCCCCAGCCCTGTCCCGGCCCCGTGCCAGGATGCCGGTGCCCACTTGTTGCGGCCCTGCAGCCGGTGGAGCTCACGGCCCTGCAGCAGAAGCTGCTTCTCCAGCTTGTTGGTGGACAGCGAAGTCTCCAGCAGCTGGATCTCCATTCGCGACGTCTGGTTCAGGACCTGTCCCAGCAAACAGGAAGGGGTAGGGGGCTGGGCGAGCCCTGCAGGGTGCTGCTCTGTGCCAGTCTCGAAAGGCGCCAACCGATTTCCATCCTGCCTGCAGTTAGTTTCTATGGTCACTCACTCAACTCACTCACTCACAGGCCCTAACTGAGTTTATGACCTGCCTCTTGAGTTTGCTCTTCTCCATCACAGCACATGACAGTTCCATTCTTCTGGCTGCTCAGGCCCCTGGAGGAGTCCCCCTTGACCTCCCCCTCCCCACCCCAATCCAATCTAGCAGCAAGTCCTGTCAGATGCACCTTCCAGATGGGCATCGGACCATTCCCTCCCCCTCCATGGCCCCCACTTGGTCTTGGCTTTTGCCGTCTCTCACCCTGTGTCCTGTGTTCCTCACGGGGCTCCCTATTCCCACCCATGTCCCCTACAGTCCTTTCTCTGCTAAGCAGCCCAAGGCAGCCTTTTAAAAATGTGGCCCACCTTCCCATGGCTCCTACAGCACACAGCGGAAAAGTCCCAGTCCCTACCAAGCCTTGCGATGTCATTTGCCCCCAGTGCCTCTCTGAACGCTTGCCCACCCCTCTCCCCGTGGTGGTTCCAGCCACACCCACCACCTTGATGTTCCTGGAGCTTGCCGGCCCAGCCCCACCGCTGGGCCTATGCACATGCTGGCCTTCCCGTCTGGAAGGCTCTCTGGGTAAGCCTGGCTCCAATCCTACCTTCTCCACAGTGCCCTCCTGGCTTCAGTGTCTAAACTTGCAAGCCGTCCGTTCACCCCAGCTCACCATCCCTCTCTTCTGCCCTCGCCGTTTTCTCCTAAGCACTGTCACCCCCCGACATATGCAAGTTATTCATCCTGTCCATTTCCCTGGTGGTCATTGAAAGGAAATCCAACGAGGGTAGGGAGGCATGGCTGTTTCACTTATTGCTATAAACGGGAGCCAGGCATCTCCAACAGTGCCTGGCACGTAGTAGGGATTCAACAGACACACACCTATTTGTCATTCAATCTTTTCATCCATTCACTTGCTCGCCCTCCCATTTATAAGCCTGTCCCCCGCTTCTGTGGCCCTTGCCGCCCCCTGTGTCAGTCGCTGGCCCCCTGAGGTTGAGTGAATCGTTTATTATCTGTCTTTCCCTGGAGCCGTGTGAGTCCCCAGGTGCGGCTACCCACCATGATGCCGGTGCCCAGCGCAGACCTGGAGTCAAAGAGGCCGCAGGACCAAACCCGGAGTCTGTCCCCAGGGCTCGTGGCCTGGTGGCCGGAGTGTTTCGTGACAGGGTCATCGGGGAGGGGCCCCAGGGCGTTACAGGCCCAGGGGAGGCCCAGACCTTACCCAGGGACAGAGGCAGCTGGGCTGGCCACGGTCCTCCCTCCCCCTCCCCCCATGCCACCTGCTCGCCCTCCGTACCTGAGCCTCCACGTCAGTCAGCTTGCGGGTCTGGGCGGTGGTCTGGTTCAAGAGGCTGGTGCCTAGCTCCAGCATGGTGGCCGTCTGGTTCTGGACCATGTGCTGTTGGACCTGGGCCAGCTCTGACCTCAAGTTCATCTGGATGTACCTTTCTAGCTGTGGGGAGACCGTGGACTGGGGTCATGGGCAAGGGCGGGAGGAAGGCTCCTTGTCCCTTCCTGTGTCTCCATGAAGGACAAAGGGCAACCGGGGGAGGCCTCTCTGCCAGGCCGGGCCACCTTTACCTTTCACCTGGACTATTCCAGTAGCTTCTTCCCTGACTTGTCTGCCTCCATCCTTGTCCCACACACAAGCCATCCTCTACTCAGCAGCCAGAGGGCTCCTGTTAAACCTAAGTCACATCAAATTCTTCCTCTGCTAGAAAGAAACCCTCCCAGAATTCCTACCTTAGAGGAAAAGCCAAAGTCTTCCCCCTGACTTCAGCTTCCTCCATGACCTGGCCTTCCGCCCCCACTCTGATTTCTTCTCCCAGTCCTCTCCCTCACTCTGCTCCAGATGCCTGGCCTCTGTGACATCCCTCCAACACAGCAAGCATAACCCTACCTCAGGGCCTTTGCACATGCTCTTCCCTCTGCCTGGAAACTCCCTCCATCCCATCTCTGTCTACATGGCTCCCTCATATCATTTCGGGTCTCTTCCTACCACTTATCATTCCCCACCTTTGAATTACATATTTATCTGTCTGTTGTCCGCTTTGCCCTTAGAATGTCCATTCCATGAAGTCGGAGACTTGGTCTTACTCACCCTCTATCTCTGTGCCCAGTACAACGCTTAGCGCACAGTGGGTGCTCAATAAATATGTGTTCGATGAATTGATGGAAAAAGGGCGCCACAAGGGTCAGAGAACAGACTCCAGTGTCATGTGCATTACCCAGCCATCAGGGAGTGCGGATGCGTCTTCCCCCCAGAAGAGTTTGCAGGTCTATCCATCAAGCTGGATTTTCTATTTTCTGCTCCCCTCCATCTGCCAAATAGGCTGAACGAGACAGTCTCCAAGAGTTCTCTCTGCTGGGATGTTCTGGGATCTCCCGGGCTGATCTCTTTCCCAAGAGCAGTTGAAGCTGGTCTGGCGCGAGACCAGGATCAAGTTGCAAAGGTGAACAGAGTGTTCCCAGGGCTCGGTGCCCGCAGGCAGAGAGCTGGCGCCCCTCCTCCCTTCTCTCTCTTCTCTCTCCGTTTTTGCACACAGGCTGGCCTCCGGCCATCATCCCTACCTCCCCCCTCCCCCCCCACCCCCCCCCCCCCCCCCCCCCCCCCCCCCCCCCCCCNCCCCCCCCCCCCCCAGGCCCTGGCTCCATCCGTTGCCCTCTCGCTCAGTCTTCCAGGAGGTCTGACAGGGCAGCTCCCAGGATCCCTGGGAAGACAGGCATTCCCCAGGGAGAGGCGGGGCAGCCTCTGGCTGCTTCCTCCTTGGTCTTTTCTCCCCTCTCCCCTCTTCCATCTAACAGTCTGTCCCTTTCTCTGCCCCACAGCAACCCCCACCCACCCCGCTGCTTCCCCTCCTGGCCCCCGCCCCCCGCCCCCCGCCGTGATTTTGGAATGTGTTCCCTTGCAGTGTAACATCGAATCCTGGAGGGGGCGTATGTGGGTGGTGCTGGTATTTACAGCAGTGGTTCTCAAAGTGTGGCCCTTGGAGCAGCATGGGGCGGGGTTGTTAAAAATGCAAATGTCTGGGTCCCACCGCAGACCTACTGGGGCAGAAATTCTGGGGTGGTCCCCAGCTGTCCGAGTGAATGTGATGCTCAAGTGTGACAGCTCCTGGGGCAGCAGTCACAGAGCGACTGAGGGCCAGGGAGACGGGCACAGGGGAGCCTCTGGAGTCTTCCTCATATTGGCCCGTTCCTTCCTTCCCTGCAGCAGCAGCACCCTCCCTCCCCCCTCCACTGTTCCCTGTAACACACAAGCGAGATCCAACCGCTCCCAGGTCCTTGACCCCACGGTCCCTCCAGCCGCGTCTCCAGTTTCTCCGGCCTCAACAGCACAGCTTCTTCAATAAGTTGCCTCCGTTTCCTCACCTCCACCCTCACTCTAAAACATTAACAATATTATCCTGGTGTACTGCCCGCGCACAAGAAAGCTTAAGGAATCATATAATGCAGTCTGTGTATTTGCCACGTTCAAGAAAAAAAATAAATATAACCCAGACTGTAGATTTCTGTGCTCGCCAGCCGGCCTCCCCTGGGGGGGGGACCCTTCCCTCCTTAACTCGGCTGGTCATCGCCTCCTGGATGGAGCGACCCTCCCACGGCCTCTTACTGTCCCCCTCAGCAGCAGTTAGTGCAGACGGCTACACCCGCGTTCTGGAAGCACTGCCCAGAGCCTCCTTCTCCTAGCTGTCTTACTGTCTGTGGTCACCCCCTCTCTGCCCCCTCCTTTACCAGGCTCCTACACGTTGCGGGCTCTCAGCCCCGTTCTCGGCCCTAGTCTCTGTACACTCTCTTCCTAGGTCAGGGTTCCTTAGTGGGGACCCCAGGGGTCGCAAAGGGAACTCAGGGGGTCCAGGACCTTTGCTAGCCTGTAAGTAAAATTTGGCATTTCCTTCGACTACGAATGTGGGCCACAAACCACAGAGCGCTAGTAGCTGATCCCACAGCTTCGTTACCCGCAGAAATCACCGATGTTTCCCTCTCACGACGCAAGCATCCCAGTATCTTAAATTCTGTTTCTCCTCATCGTGACCCCAGAATGACGGACCTTCTCAGACCCTCCACTGGATAAAGCTACAATTCCAGCACAGGTTTTATCTTTAGTATTTTGATTACAATGGCGATAATCACTGGGTGTTCAGATGCTTTTATTTTAAGCGTTTAAAAGTGCTGCCCTGAAAAGGGATGTGTTAGCTTCGCCCAAGACCGGATGTCAAAGCGTTCGGGGCCCCACGGGCATCAGGACCTGTTAGATGCTAACAGGGCAGAGCACCTAACAGAGCAGGTGCTCCTGTTAGGCCCGGGACTGGCACACGCCGACGGCACTGGCTTCATCCCTGCCCAGACTTCTCCCCTCGTGCGCCACAACTCGCCATCCCCACGTGGGCTTCTAACAAGCATTTCAGGCAAAAGCATCCGGCATGGGGCCCTTGGTTCCTCAGCTCCCACTGCCCTGTCTCGGCCTCCCCACCCCACTCCCCTCTGCAAACCACCCCCCCACCCCCGTTCGCCATCTTTCCCATTTTAGCAAATGGCCCCAAACCCAGACGTCCTCCTTGACACTTCTCTTTTTCTCATCTGCTCCACTCGGTCCCCTAGTAGGTTCTGGCCATTACGAATGCAAGTCTCCCAATGCATCAAGTTTGCCAACGCATTCTCCCCCCAGTGCAAGTTTTGAACCTGCTCACTCCGCTCCCCCTCCCACCCCACCGGGCCAGGCCACTGTCATCCCCACTGGTCAGGCTCCAGTTCCGGTGCATTGCCTACCGCGCCTCCATCAGCACCCTATGCATGGCTGCTGGGGCGCCCCAGGGTGCGTGGGGGGAGGCAGAGCTATACTGAGGCTGTTTTCCATGCACTGTCCCACGAGTCACAGACCTCCGGGAACCTGGTTTAGACTGCAGCCTCCCAGACCCTGAACTTCAGCTCCAGGCAGCCAAATAGCAAGTTCAGGCCGGAGGTGAGGCTTTCTCAGGAGTCTCCCCCCCAAGCCTCTCATTTGCAGACGGACAAAAACTGAGGCCCTGAAGCCTTGCCCAAGGTCACTACCTGCTGGTCTACGTTCCCTGACTTCTTGCCCGGGGCCTTCTTCAGGTCTGCAGAGCTGGGCTGGGGACTCAGGGTAGCTTGGGGTCATCTCAAATGACAGGAGTTCCCTAAGTACCCACATTGGTCCCCCACTTGTCCTGTGGCCGCGAGCGGCTGGGTGGGGCAAAGGCCACCCACAGCTGGGGCCCATCACCCAATTTGCCACACCCGCCCACCGGCATGGGTCCTAGGATGGATAATGTGGGCCAGATGGGCCCGTTATGGCCATGCCGGCCTCTGGTGAGTAATGCTGGCATGTGCGGTAGGGACTGGGTCTGGTCTGGGGTTCAGGCACAGGTTATAAGGATGAGGGAGGGGTCCCAAGGAAGGAGCTCCCCTTCTTCCCCCCATAGGAATGGACCTGCCCCTTCCTGGTCACCTTTATGCTGCAGATTCTCAGGGCTGAGAATCTCAGGCCCTGCCCCCACCTCTCCAGCCTGCAGAGAGGCTGACCTTTGACCCTTGGGCTGCCAGCCCTCTCCCTTTGGCTCCGGGTTTGGGTTTTGGCTAGATGACACTCAACTGTGGGGCTCTAGTACTTGAAGGCTATGTTTCTCTGAGCCTCACTTGATTGATCTGTGATATGGGGACAGGAAACCTTGCCCTTCTTGGGGGAGAGGGTAGCTGAAAAAGGACTTCGAGGAAAGAAAAGGAGTCTGGATCCAGACAGGGGCTGGATGAGGAGGAAAGGTGTTCTGGACAGACCGTAGATGAGCATCTAATGGATGTGCAGTCTTGGTGACCAAGGAGATCCCCTCAAGCCTGTTTTTCTCCCACATTATTTACATTAAAAAAGACTATGACTGGAGATGGGATGAGCAACTAGGGTCCATCCACCCAGGGGACTCTACTCAACAATGAAAAGAAAGGAGTTAATGATCCACACAACAGTAAGACTCAAAGATTACACGTGTAGGATTCCGTATATGTGACTTCTGGAAAAGTTAGAATCCATAGTGTGGCCAAGGACTGGGTCTGTGGTGGGAATTGACAGCAAAGGGTCTGGGAGAACTTTCTGGGGTGTTGGCAACATTCTATGTCATGACTGTCGTAGTGTTTGCATGAGTGTATACATTTCTCAGCACTTGTAGAGTTGTATGTTACAGGGGCATCTGGGTAGCTCAGTTCGTTGAGCATCTGACTCTTGGTTTTAGTTCTGGTCATGATCTCAGGGTTCACAAAATCGAGCCCCACGTTGGGCTCTGTGCTGGCAGCATGGAGCTTGCTTGAGATTCTCTCTCTCTCTCTCTCTCTCTCTCTGCCCCTCCCCTGCTCAATCTCCCTCTTGCTCTCCCACTCGTTCCCCTCTCTCTTCGAAAAAATCAAGAACAAATATAAATAAACATTAAAAAAACCTGTATG